GCTAGATAAAAACGTGTTTGTATTGCACAAGTATGTGTCACTTAAATACCAAGTAAGGTGTCCCATGATCCCACGCAGAGGTCAGCAATCATTCTGAGCCCTGAGAGCTACCAGGGGGCATAAGCTCTGCCAATAGGTGTGTTTGGGACAAAGGCAAAGTTTGGGGATATGAGCAAGGTCAGGGAAAATGGGAAGCCTGGTGTCTCCTTCCTTACACACTCCCCCCCCCCCCCAAATCCTATGCTTATTCAGGAGCCTACCTTGTTTAAATCCTAATCATGATTTGTGGATCACCTCTTCCAGGTAGTTTTCCCTGATTGCAGCTAGTGCAATTTTTCTCTTCTATGGACACTCACTGCACTTGGTATGTGCCGGTCTCAAATGCTGTTGGTTTCTCCTTAGGGCCAGACCCCAGTTTCCCCCCTGGGATGCATGCTCTTTCACTCATACATTCTTGAGTCCTGCAGTCCCCTGTGTTTCAAACTTTAGGTCATTATCATGCGTTGGGATATCCATTTAGAGCTGTTATTTCCCAAAATTGCCTGAGAAAAATCATCTGGATCTTGTGTTAAATGTACACGGCCAACTGGCTTCTCACCTGGAGATTCTGATTTTGTAGTATGTCTGAGTTGGGACTGGGGATCTATGTACCAACCTTCGGGACCTAGAATCTAGCTTTTCCATCTGTAAAGTGCATACACATCACTTGATCTCGATAATACAGACCCTAGTTTAGTAGGTCTGGGGCAGGCTAAGAAGAATAATTTCTGGGGCACCTAAGTGTCTCAGTCAGGTAAGCATCTGACTCCGGCTCAGGTCATGAACTCACAGTTTGTGGGTTCAAGCCCCACATTGGGCTCTGTGCTGATAGCCTGGAGCCTGCTTCAGGTTCTGTATGTGTGTCTCTCTCTCTGCCCCTCCCCTGCTCATGCTCTGTCTCTCTTTCTCTCAAAAAAAAAATTTTAAATAATTTTTAAAAGGAAGAATAAGTTCTAACAAGACCCCAGGTGATGCCAATGCTGCAGATCCAGGATCATAGGCTGCTTGGCCAAGTTCAGGTGATTCTTATCTTTAGGCCCCACTGGAGAAGTCAGGATTTGGTGCTGGTCTCGACATGAGCACACCTGGCGAGATTTCAAAACACACTAAGGTCCAAAAACCAACCAACTAACCAACCAACCAACCAACCAAACATACTAAGGTCCAGATCCCACTAGAGGCCATTTTAAATCAGAATCCCTCAGGTTTTTTGGTTTGGTTTTTCAAGCTTCCCAGATAATTCTGATACGATGATACACGAATTATCAATTATCACTGATTTAGTGGGTCCCCATCAGCATGAAAATAAATTCATGAATAAATGGATAGAATAGACCATCTCATGGACTTGTGGGGTAAAACCTTTGACTTCATTATGTGCACGGTGTATGCAAATCACAAGAGTTGCTAGATCGATGTAGGTTTGAGAATGAGTGAAGGAGAAATGAGCACGTCCTGGAGTTCACAGACCAGCCACAGGGACAGACTGAATGAATTCAAGGACACCCAGGCTTCCCGCCACTACCACCCAGGGGGCCGACAGTGGGGAACAATGAAGCATCAGGCAGAGAGGTCACAGTCAGGGAAAGCAGCAAGAAGCCTCTGTGTAAGCTAAGCTAAGCTAAGCAGTGTAGGGTGAACAGGACTTCCCCATGAAGCAAGGCAGGGCCTTCAAGGCACAGAGGACAAAATGTACACAGTTTGGAGGTACGGAAGAGGACACAGCAGGTTCAGGGAAGGGAACTAGCAGCGGCTGGCTGTGTGTCTGGAACCTGGGGGTGTGAAGGGGAGGAGCAGAGATAGGCCCAGAGGATTGCAGAGGCCACCTGGGGAGTGTGAGCTGAAGAGAAAAGAAGGTCACTGACCCTTTGCTAGGGAATGACCACAGGTGACTTTTCTTGGCTCATAGCAGCCAAGACTCCACTGACAGATCGGGTAAAGCTGTTTTTGTGTGGGTATAAGGGCCCATGGAGACTGAGGGCCTTAGACAACTTTCTAGAAAGCATTTGGCAGGGGTGGGGGAGTCAGAGGTGCTTAAGCAATGATTCACCAGCGACATTCCTATGTCCCTTTTCCCAGACCCTCTTGGGCAAACACCCTTTTTGTCAAGCACTGAGTTGGAGCGTCAGAAACAAGGCAGGCAGTGCTGCCCTGGTGAAGCGGTGGTGAGAAAGTGATTCACCCTCATGAATTACTATAACATACGGCACGGATTTAGAACTGCCCCAGACTTTGTGCTATGGGGAAGCAACAGCAAGAGCCATCAATTTTGCCTGGGTTGGTCAGAGAAGGCTCTTCTGAGGAGGCAAAGAGCCTCGAAACGGTTAACATGTTTAATTGGAGAAGAGTCGATGGTGAAAGGGGGGAAGAGGCTTAAGGAACCAAGGATTTGCAAAACACTGAGAGACTGCACATGGCCGGAGCACAGAATGTCATTGGGCACGAGAGGGACAGTAAGGCAGAGCAGCCAGGACACAAATGGTCCTCATGCCAAGTTAAGAAGTTTGGACTGATTGGGGTGGCAAGAGAGAACCATTGGAGGTTTTTAACCTGAGAAGTTTTTAACCTGATTATCAAAGGTGGGTTCTAATACCTTCTAGGATATTATCTGACTGCTAATATGGAGGGTGGAGGTTTAAGGGCTGAAGAATGAATGAAAAAGTGGGTAGGTGAGGACCGAGGAATGAAACGCTAACTCTGTTTATTCACTTTTTTAATGTTTATTTTTGAGAGAGAGAGAGAGAGCGAGTATGAATCAGGGAAAGGCAGAGAAAAGAGGGAGACACAGAATCCAAAGACAGGCTCCAGGCTCAGAGCTGTCAGCACAGAGCCCGATGTGGGGCTTGAACTCACAGACCATGAGATCTTGACCCGAGCCCAAGTCAGACGCCTAACTGACTGAGCCACCCAGGCGCCCCCAAAGCATTAACTTTATGCTGAATCCTGAGAAAAGAAAGGGTTTGCAGTTCCAACCTTAATATGCCCCAAAAGAGCCAATCAAGGGCCTGGGGGCTTCTGACCAGGAACTAAGACCTGGAGGGGTAGAGGCCTGCGCTGTGGCCTGCAGCATGAAAGAAATACACCGGCACAACTCCAGACATGGGTGTTCTTGTCGGCCTGGGATTTCCTCTCTTTTGAGTCTGTCGTGCCCCAACTGTCCATTTAATTTCAATCTTTTTCCTACTCTCTAGGTTTTACCACAGGAGACTAACTCCATCCTAATCTGAAATGAATTATTTATGCTTCTGAAAATGCTGGATGCCTGCCTGATTTATTGATTTTTCAAATAATACATCTGAACAGAAATTCACGCAAGAGGGGATAAACAGAATTTTGAGTTGAATGCCCTGCCCCAACTGTTGCCTGATTTATCATTTCAAACCAGTGTGTGGCCTTGGGCGCCTGGGTGGCTCAGTCGGTTAAGCCTCCGACTTCGGCTCAGGTCATGATCTCACGGTTCGTGAGTTTGAGCCCTGCGTTCGGGCTCTGTGCTGACAGCTAGCCTGTTTCAGATTCTGTATCTCCCTCTCTCTCTGACCCTCCCCTGCTCTCGCTCTCTCTCAGAAATAAATAAAACATTAAAATTTAAAAAAACACACCAGTATGTGGCCTTGTCATCATCCCGTGGAGCCCCAAATCTACCCCTGTGCACTAATGAGATGCCAAGTGCCCGTGTCTGACAGTCAAGATTTGCCTATCAGACCCTGCCACCTGACCTTTATATCTTATCTTCTGCTACTACGACTTTCTCCACTAGTCCAAATTCCAGTCATTCAACCCAGGCCCAGTTCAAACACCTCCTACCCTCTGAAGCCATCCCTGGTTCTCTCCCAAGGGGAGAAGCCCCTCAGGCTTCTGAATTTCCAGACTCTTTTGTTTTTTATATCCTTCATTAGACTCTCAGCTCCCCCGGGGTAGCTTGGGCATGAACACTGGCACACAGCAGGTACCTCGGGAGAGTCTGCTGACATTAGGTGGCACGGTCTCCTACATCTGAAGCAGCAGTTAAACAGCCCGCCCAAGCGGACCAGACAAACTTTTGGAGTCTGTAGCTACAAAGCGCGCTCTGGACAAGTGGGCAGGGCAAGGCACCCACCTAGAGCCAATGCCTGACTGATGCTTCCATCCGGTGGCAGTTGCCTCTTGGACTAACCCACATCCTTCACACATATTTCAGCAGCCTCCTGAAGCGCTTCTCCTTTCCAGGCTGACCTTTCTCCTTTCCTTCAACCCCTCACACCTGTCGTGTTGCCTTCACGGTTTACAAGTTAGAGCCACGCATAATTCGTGGTGATTCCTACAAGAGCCAAAAGATGCACGCAAGGCTGGCATTACTTTTCACACAGGGATTGGGAGCTTAGGAACCAGTGACTTATCCAAGGTCACTCCCAGAAGTGTCAAGACTATTGATCTACTCAAGCCTCCTATCTCCAGGTGCCATAGAGTCCGAGACCTGCAGTTGTCTGAGGAAACCGTTTAAACGTGACTTGTATGTCCTAAAGCACACACAGGTGTTTCTCTGTGGCCTGCGGTATCGGTAGCTGACAAAAGGCCCCCCCGAGGGTGTCATGAAACCTGACAGAGGCTACAAAGGGGAGCCAGGCGGGCACTTTCAGCGCTTGCCTCTCACAACTGTCAATTCCCACTGATCCTCCCTTAGGCTGTACGCTGGAGAACGCGCTGGCTGCTTGTGGCACTGCAAGGCCACCGTATGGCGCCAAGGGAACGGGGTTCTCGCTAGGGGAGACCCAGTGCCTTACGACAGGTGTGGTGGATGACCCTACACCTGCCCGGCTGGTGCCAAGAGTACTTGCTTGGGGTCACCTGACTCTCCGCGGTTTTAGGGAGGAGCCGCGCGGCTGCGACTGCCTCACGTGACCTGACTCGGGCGGTGTCGAGCACGTCACGCCACGCCCCGCGCGCCGGGTCGGTCAAGGTCTGCGCCTGCGCGCCCGCTGGTTCGCAAGCTCGCCAAGCTGCGGGCTGGCGGCTACCGGGCGCGGAGCTGGATGCCCGCTGCAATGGGTGAGTGCCGGAGGCTGGCGAGTGGGCAGCACAGGCCTTCCTCCCGGCCTGTGGGTTGAAGGAGTGGAAGCACGAAGGACGGTCTGAGGAGGCCGCCCGGCCCCGGCCCTCTGGCGCAGCCGCTGGGGCCCACCCCTCTCCGCGCGCCTGGTCGGTCCCGCGCGCGCCCTCCCGGGTGGGGCCCGAAGCCGAAGGAGCCGGCGGAGGCGCCGCGCGCGCGCGCGCGCGCAGGGTCGGTTCCTCGCCCACTCGGCTCCCGGCTTTCCCGCGGGTCCCCAGACTTCCCGGGGCTTCGCGGGGCGGGGGGTGCTGTTTGGCTTCTGGAGCGAGCCTTTCTGACGGAGGAGACTGCGTTCTTTCGGACGCGCCCCGGCCAGGGAGGTGCCTCCAGCTGTAAAGCGGGGAGGAGCTGGGCTTTGCAGGGCCAGGGGAGAGCGGCGCTGGCGGCGCTAGGACGCCGGAAGGGCCCCTGCCTTTCGGGGTTTGGGATTCCGGACCGCCGGAGACTGTTGACTGTCGGAGACGGAAGGGCCTTCGGTGATCCTGCCCAGTCCCCAACCCTCCCCCTTATCCCGGATTGGGGATATGGACCCTCAGAGGGCGGTAAGTTCAGCCACAGGCAGTGCTTATTTTACGACTCCATGTTGCATCGTGTTGTTGTACAAGGCTTTTGGGGGGGTGGGGGGCGCTGGCAGGCGGGCGATGTTGTTCATTGTGAATCTCTGTACTGATTATTTAGCCCGGAGCTTAGCTAGGTGGAGCCTATCGGTGCCTCAGCTGTATTTACCCTTTGGACATAACCTTTATTTTGCCCCGTCAGCTATACACAGCTGGTCTTAATTCCCACCCTCTGTTTCTTTAACAGTCAGCAGTGAAACAGAAGCCCTGAAAGTATGAGCGTGATGACCTTGCGGGTTCGAGCCTCCTCTGCCCTTGCTTGCAAAGGGTTCAATAAAATTAAAAGGTGCCAGAACTGGTCAGGTTCCCTTGTGGTTTCAGAGCACAGGTTAGGCACTTTGGATCTGGAGTCACCCTTAGTGCATCTAAAGAAAAAAATCATAAGCTGTTACGCTGACTGAAGGGATTTGGTTTCTCCTTTGATAAAGTAAGACTAGAGAATTGGATTTTTAAATTAGGGACGTTGCTTTTTGTGTTGTAGCAAGATCTTGTCATGACTAGGACTGGAACCCAGACTGTTCTTGTTCTGAATGCTGACTCAGACCTGCTGACTTGTGGGAGTTCACATCCTTCGAGAATTACACTTGCCTTTCCCCCAGTTTTTGCACAGACTTTTGTGCTGGGATCACATCTGGGTCCTGCTTATCCATGTGGGCTGTAAATTACAGTAAGTGTTTACACTGCTGGATTCTGCAGCAGAAGTTTGACACTTGTAGTTGGCTTGAAAGTCAACTGTGCTTCCTGTTGATCAGATAGGTTAAGTGCTTTGGGTAGCAAATAGGATAACATTATGATAAATAAGTTTTACAGGAAATTGCACAGAATTATCCATGTTAAGGAACTGAAGTATAGAGATTAGTTTAAAGAAATTTGGCCATGTTTGCAATATAGATAAACATTGTAAAATTCTAAACTCCATTGCCACAGAATACTGTGTTCGCTATCCTTGCTTGTATTGCTAAATTAAGAACAACTTCATACCATCCTGGTGTGTAGGGTGAAACTAGAGGGAAAGCTTTAGTTTTATTATTTTTCTTTTCCCATGTACATCTGTGGTTTCTTTGAGGACATCATCAGTCTCAGGAGGTTAAAGTTTAGAATGAAAGTTTTAAATCTGTGAAGTCTAGGACACTTTCATTACCTTCCTTTTCCTTTTCCAGGTCTGCTCATTTGAGATTCTAAATGTACAGTGATGTTCTTAAAATAGTTTAAAATAGTGAAATACAGTGGTCAGTAAATGGCCAACTTCTGCGAGCCATAGTTAATAACAGTCTCCATTATTACAAAGAGCTGTGACAAACTAGATGACGTAACTGTAATTTGCAAAATTTTAAAAAGTAAATCATTCCAGGGGCACCTGGGTGGCTCAGGAGGTTAAGTGTCTGACTTGAGCTCAGGTCGTGATCTCGCAGGCTGTGGGTTCCAGCCCTTTGTAGGGCTCTGTGCTGACAGCTCAGCCGCTTTCGAATTCTGTGTCCCCTTCTTTCTCTCTGCCCCTCTCCTGCTCGCACTCTTATCTCTCTCTCACTCGAAAATAAACCAATGTTTTTTAAAAAAAAAAAAAAAAAAAAAGGCAAATCATTCTAGTAAAAATTAAAAGTGAATGTGGACAAAACTTGGTTAGTCAGGTGTACAAATAACTTGGTTTGTATTATTAAGAAACAGTAAATTGTTAAACAGCTTGTAGGTGGTGACTTTAGAATTTGAAATCTATTATTATATATATAGTATATAAATGAAATTTTTTACACTCATACATTGTCATAATATATAATCATATATGCATTAATCTGCATATTCTTGTTGATTTTATTTTGTTTAGTCCTGAGACTGAATAAGAGCAAGACATTATATGGATGTAAAAGCATTTATAGGCTAAGTTGTTTTTTAAAATGTTGGTTGATCTTAGATTGGCAAATGTAGTACTTACAAGTTTTTAAATTCACATCTGTCAGCTAAAACAGTAAGAAGTAAGGATGTAGAAGACTAAGTGATTAATAATTATGAAACTCTGTACCCTGGCAAACTTCTTCTCAAGCATCTTTAGACTTTAAAAAAATTTTTTTTAATGTTTTAATTTATTTTTGAGAGAGAGAGACAGTGTGAGCAGGGGAGGGTCAGGGAGAGAAGGAGTCACAGAATCTGAAGCAGGCTCCAGGCTCTGAGCTAGCTGTCGGCATAGAGCCCGACATGGGGCTCGAACCCACGAACTGTGAGATCATGACCTGAGCTGAGGTCAGTCGCTTAACCGACTGAGCCACCCAGGCGCCCCTAGACTTTTCTTTTTTTTTTTTTTTTTTTTAATAAAAATGCCATTGGTGATAAATAGAAATAGATTAAAATGCCATTGGTTTCTTTAACTGGTTAAGAGCATAAAATGTACAAGGCAGAAAGTGTGTTTTAAACAAATTAAAAGGCTGTGGGTTGTTTGCTTTTTTTCTTTTCAGTTCTCCCCAAGTCCTATAAGTACCTACAAAAATAATGCATGATGGAAAGCTGCCATATACAAGAAGTTGTGTCTTGAATTCAGGGAAACCGCTATTGAAACGGGAATTAGCATAATAAAGTCATCAACAGGTTAATAGTTTTAAAAATTGTCTTTGGGGCACCTGGCTGGCTCAATGAGTGGAGCATGAGACTCTTGATCTCAGGGTTATGGGTTCTAGCCCCACATTGGGTGTAGAGATTACTTTAAAAAAATAAAATAAAATCTTAAAAAAAGTTGATTCTTCAAATGCTGCATGGCACGATGCTATACTAAAGATTGATGTACTGCTACATAAGAAGGACAAAGTCTGGAAGGAGGAAGTCTGTATGGCTTTTAGCAAAAATGCTTTTCCAGAAAAGCAAATCGAAACAATGCAGTCATCAGATCAAGGAGGCTATAGTTAGATATCAGAGCTATGGCTAGATATGCTAGAAGATCCTATTTCTCCAGAATGTACCAAAACAGGGACTTTTAAAAAACATTTCTTTATCCATTTTAAGTTCTGTGTTTCTTTCCCCTTCCCCTGCATTTCAGCATGATCTAGCAGAAAGATGGATGCCAGTGGCTATTTTATTTTTCTTTCTTTGGCAAGATTGTCACGGAGCCTGGATATTTCAGGTTTGTATGTATCTCTTACCTTTGCCCTGCTGTGGTCAAAAAACTTAGTAATGGACTTCATATAGTCAGCTTGCCACCACTGCTGCTTTGTTCTCCCACCAATGAAGGTCAGCTTCAAGGGGTATTTATCATCGAATCTTTTGTGACTGGAGGACAGTTGCCAGATAGTGAGATCTATCCTTGTCTTTACTGTGGGCCACAAGAAAGATGCTCTTCTCCTGAGCATAAATACAGGATATCAGATGCCGCAGAGCTGAAACAGGCTTGGATTCTGGAGCTGGGTGTGTATAATCCCAAATCAAAGCCACTGTGTTGAAGAAACAGGACGTGATACAGATGAGGCAGCCATCAATTAGACCAAAATCCTCCACAGAGAATCTTAAAAAGTAATATTAGAAAGTTGTGCTCAAAGGAAAATGTGTCGCCTTAAACACCCAGATTATGAAACGAAGAAATAAAAATAAGCATCTAACTTGAGAGATTAGAATACAGTAAACCTAGACCAAACAAGAGAAAAGAGATAAAGAGGAGAAACATTTAAAACCTGAAAAATAGTAAAACTGGTACGTCTAAGAGCTTGTTTCTTGCTGGGATGGGAGGAATGTAAATTTGACAAACTGCATGCCCCGGTCAAGACTAGAAATATTTTTTAAAAACAGCAAGTACTAGTGGCACCTGGGTGGCTCAGTTGGTAAAGCGTCTGACTTCGGCTTAGGTCATCTCTCTCATAGAGAGATGTCATCATCTCTCTCTATGAGTTTGAGCCCCACATTGGGCTCTGTGCTGACAGCTCAGAGCCTGCAGCCTGCCTTGGACTCTGTGTCTCCCTCTCTCTCTGCCCCTCCACTGATCATGCTGTCTCTCTCTCAAAAATAAATAAACAGTAAACAAAAAATTTAAAAACAAAACAGTAAGTACTATATAAGATGATCTAAATAAACCAGAATTTTTTTTTAAAGGGAATCCAGTTACCAAAATTGACTCCAGAAGAAAGAACCTAACAGACCAGTAATAATGGAAGAAATTTGAGAAAGTTACCAAAAAGCTACCATCCCCCAAAACACCAAGCCCAGATGATGTTACAGGTGAATTCCTTTAACTTTGAAGGAAAAGGTAATTTTGATAAGATTTAAATTGTTCACCAGCATAAAGAAGGAAAAGTGACAGATTCTTTTTACAAAGCCAGTGGAACACTGACACCTGAACTTGGCATGAAGATGGCACTAAAATTGGAAACTTGGTATGTTCTAGTGATGTGAAATTTTAAAATATTAGTGGATGGTATCTAGTGATACATTTAAAGTATTTCATCATGTCCAAGGAGGATTCATTCCTCTATTAGAAGGGCAAGTAATTAACAAGAAATATACTAACATTTACACCAAATAAATCCATCAAAGAAGAACAATAATAATAGTTTATCCATGTTGAATACCTCTGGTGCTCTAGACTACTCTCCTGGATACTTTACATGCAGTAACTTAATTAATTGAGCCAACCTATAAGGTAGGTAACATCCTTATTTTATAAATGAGGAAGTTAAGTCATGGAGACATTGAGGAGCTTGCCGAAGGTCACACAGTAGGTACGTGGTTGAGCCAGGCTTTGAACCCAGGCAGTTAGCTGCAGCTCTTAAATGTTATACTGGCTATGTCTCTAGTATTCATATGATCATCTCAGTAGCTCCCAAAGTTCCTGATTTAGTGGTGTTGGGAGGGGTTGAGGGTGGTTGAATTTCAGTAAAACAGGAATAAATATATTCCTTTCCCATGTTTGAAAACCCTCTAAGCCCTTACCAGTTGATCATTAGTACCAGAAAAGTGGAATCCAGTTTTAATGGGAAACAATTTCCTAGTAAATAGTGGGGTAAAGGGGCTTATATAATTAAAGATCTACTAATTCTTAGGATGAATACAGGATGAAGTTTTGGGGTTTTTAATGTAATTTATCTGATGAAATGTGATAGTTGTTGGAAAGACCTGCTTCACTCATGTTTGCAGCACAATCCTAAAGGTGGTTGGGGAAAGAAGACAGAGAAGGTTACTTGAGTGGGTACAGGTTTTATAGGGGCTAGTTGGATCAGTAAACATTTTTGTGTCGTGGTGATCTGTTTCCCTGTAAACTGTTAGGACTTGGATTATGAATACTCTGATGACAACTTCTTGTGTCTCACACAAAAAACTAGTGTCGTGTTTAACATTAATTCCTAGCAAAGTTCCCAGAAATGTCAAGAAAAATATAAAGAGGGGGTGCCTGGGTGGCTCAGCTGCTTTAGCATCCAACTCTTGATTTCGGCTCAGGTCATGATCTCACAGTTCATGAGATAGACCTCTGCATTGGGCTCTGCACTGGCAGCACAGAACCTGCTTGGAATATTCCCTCTCCCCTCCCCCTCCTCCTTACCCCCTCACTTTCTCTCAAATGAACATTAAAAAAATATATGGGGCGCCTGGGTGGCTCCGTAGGTTAAGTGTCCGACTTCGGCTCAGGTCATAATCTCCTGGTTCTCAAGTCTAAGCCCCATGTCGGGGCTCTTTGCTGACAGCTCGGAGTCTGGAGCCTTCTTCAGGTTCTGTGTCTCCCTCTCTTTCTCTGCCCCTCCCCTGCTCACGCTTTGTCTGTCTCTCTCTCTCAAAAATAAACATTAAAAAAAAAAATGTAAGGACATTCACTATTATCATAACTTAATTTTGTTCAGGAAGTATTTGTGAATCTAATAAGATAGAAAAAAGTCACATAGAGGAGAAATAAAAATAATTTGTGGTATTTTATATAGTGGAAGCTGAATCAAATCCAGTCCAAAAAACTGAGAATTTGCAAGAGGATTCTGTAAATTGGCTGGTTCTGACCTTAATACACAAGAATTGGTAGCTTTTTCGTATGCAGACAAAAAGCAGTCTGAAAATTAATTGGAAGGAATCAGCCCATTCATAATAGCAACGAAAAAGATAAACTAGACCTCAAAAATATTCAGTATCTGTATAAAAAAGTGTAAATGCTAATAAGGTTTGTAAAAAGACACAAGTAAATAGGAAGACCTCATATTCCTGTAAAGTATAGTTTAATTTTGAAAAAGTGACAGTTCTTTAATCTGTAAAGTCACTTTCTCTGTAAAATACCAACAAGATTTTTGAGAGGAATGTGACAAACACTAAAGTTTACCAGGAAAAGCGTGAGAGCCAGGAAACTGAGAATTCTGAGAAGGGTATGAGCAAGTCCTACCAGATGGTGACACGTGTCCTGCCACCACTGTGGGTCACAGCAGGTTGGCACTAAAGAAGTGCTGGGCTGCTCCCGGGGCAGAGGTAGTGTGGCGGGAATGTGCACATGCCTGTGGGCATTTAGTTTCTGCTCCCCAGTCACTTCCAGAGGTATCTCTTCTCTGCCTCGAGCCTTACTCTGCCGTTCCACAGGTCACAGGATGGATGATAAAGCCAGGAGAGGGAAGCAGCGCATGGGTTACTCGTTCATAATTTTAGAGTAATGATGGCCTTCTGAGGGTATTACAAAGCCTAGAAGCCAAGATGAATAGATTTAATACCCAACTTGAGAATTTCAGTACCACAGAAATGATAAAGCAGAGAAAGTATTTGCCACAATTTGGTAAATATAACTAGGATTGATTTTTTTTTTAATATATAAAGATTTTACAAATCAGAAAAATTTTTGTGTACAGGAAAATGGATAACATGAAAATTTAGAGTAAAAGAAATCCAAATGGTCAAAAATGAAAAATGCTATATTTTAATCAGAAACTTTAAATGACAGGTGCCTGGGTGGCTCAGTTGGTTAAGCATCCACCTTTGGCTCAGGTCATGATCTCACGGTTTGTGAGTTCGAGCCTCACATCAAGCTCCCTGCTGTCAGCACAGGGCCCTCTTTGGATCCTCTGTTTCCCTCTCTCTCTGCCCCTTGCCTGCTCATGCACTTTCTTTTCTCTCGCTCCCAAAAATAAATAAAACATTAAAAAACTTTTAAATGACAAAATGAGATTTTTTTTTTTACCCAGCACATAGGCAGAAATTACAATTTAATACCTGCTACTGGAAATGGTATCAGAACTGGTACTGGCATACACATAATTTAAAGTGTAAATCATAATTTTTCTAGGGGCAATTTGGAGTAGCTGTCAAATTGAATTTGAGCCAGCAATCCCATTGTAAACATTTACCCTACAGATAAACTTGTAAGAGTTCACCCAAGCAGGGGGTATGTCCAAGGCTGCCCAATGCATCATTCTTAAAAAAAAGAAAAAAAGAAACCAAACCTAAACAAAAACCAGGGACTAAAATAGGAGATAGAATAAGTGATATGTAATACCTCCAAATGATAGAATACTGTACAATCATTCAAAATACTGGGGTATCTCTGTACTGTTGTTAGAAGATTCTAGAACGCATTGTGAGTATCACTAGTGGCAGGCTGACTGGTAAAGAGGCCCTCGCCTGAGTCAGACAAGACCTAAAGAGCCCTGAGCTAGGGCAGTGAGCCTGGAGCATGGATATGTCAATTTATTTAATTGACTTACAACTTTTTCTCTTAAAAAAATAAATATCCTTTTTTAAATGCTTAATTTCTAATGTGTACTTTTTTCCTAAAAAATTAATACGTGTTTCTTTTGTGAATTTTCATTTAAATGATTCATTTGTTTTATTGGATCTACAAGCAGCCCAACTCCAAGGAACCCAGCCTTTCTCAGTTGAGCATACAGGTGACTTCATAATTTAACTGTTTTATTACCTGCCAAAATTAGAAATATTCCTCTCTGAGCCAGGCTGTACCCTGACTACGTTGCAGTGGAACACATTTTCCTGCAGCGTTGAACCGATTGACCGTAGTGCTTAGCAGCGTTCACATGCGTTTCTGCTGCTTCCAGCGCCCCACCTGAGGGGGTAGTGTGGCTCCCCCGCTTGTGGGTGGACCGTGACGGTTGCGCCCCTGGCACTGTCAAGGAGGAGATTTTAATGGCAAGAAAAGTTTCCTGACCGCTTTTAGGACCTTCCTTAAGGGCAGAGTTTGGGCCTGCAGTGGTGTCTAGTCACCGTTTTTCTCGGCCGAGGGCAAGTTTATCTTTTCTAATAGAAACATGGAGCAGGCCAACTGGAACTCCAAAACAAAGAGACTTTAGGCCAAAGGTTGACTGTTACATATTCTTTTTAGTGTAGTCTGTCTTGTGGGGAGAGGACACACAGACCCTGGCAGCGAAGAAAAATAGCTTGTTTCCGTTTGCTTCACATGAGAAAGGGAAAAATAGTACTCCGTGTCAGAGGGTCTTGAGATCTTCCTGAGGGTCTCTCATAACACAGGTCCAAGCCTGTAAGCCCGCTTCCCCTTCCTCTGCCACCCACCCATCTTCCATCCACACGGTGATCTAGCAGAACGTCCTTGAATAATTTCTCCAGAATGTGATGCTGCTGCTCCTTTGACACAGGACCTACACCTTAGTCTGTGCTGCTTTCTTTTGCTGAATGTGCTTCACCCTATTTGCCCACATTTCCTGTCCTGCCCTGTCAGACCAGTAGTTAATGACCCCTTCCTCTGTTGGGCCTTTATATACCTTGTGCATATTTCTGTGCTTGACATTCATCACACTGTAGTCTAATGGTCTGCATGTCTTACCTGTCCTGGGGCCAGGGTTCTACCTATCTTTAGTCTCTCACATGTAGGGCAGTACCAGGAACATGGAAGGAGTTGAATAAGTTGGTTGAATTTAATTTTCTTAGTATGCTAAGAGGCCAATTTAAAATCAGGCAAAGAAAAACTTCCCAAAGAAAGTCATCTTGACAATGTTCTCCTAGAAGTCTGAATGAAACAAAATACATTCTTATTAAAAATGTAGGGAGGAGACCACTGGGAAGGCTGACATTTGTTTACTAGACCCTAAGTGCATTGCTCACAGTGCCCCCAGCATTGGGGTTAAGACTCTTTAGTTGACATTCACTTGGATTGTGCATGGTGGATGACACTGGCCTCAGTTTAAGTGTGGAAACTGAGCCTCAGAGAGATACTGTAATTTGCTTACTTTGAAACTTTGTCTTCTTGGTCTGTCACTGTTGGCCTTTTGTTATTCTGATTAGAGCTTTATTATTGTCATCTCATCTTTTGAAAACCGTTGAATAGATTGACACAAATTTAACTTGAAAAATATAGCAAAGAGGGGCACCTGCATGGCTCAGTTGGTTAGGTGTCTGACTTCGGCTCAGGTGGTGATCTCACGGTTCATGGGTTCAAGCCCCTTTGTTGGACTCTGTGCTGACAGTTCAGAGTCTGGAGCCTGCTTTGGATTTTCTGACTTCCTGTCTCTCTGCCCCTCATCCACTTGCACTGTTTTTCTCTCTCAAGAATAAATAAACATTAAAAAAAAAAAGAGAGAGACCTAAATGGTTTATCTAGCCAGTTTTTAAAAATTTATTTACCATTAAAATCCTTACATGTAGTATTTTTATGTGTGTGGTAAAAAAACACATTATGAAATTTACCATCCTAACCAATTTTAAGTGTACAGTTCAATAATGTTAAGTATTTTTATACTGTTAAAGAGCAAATCTCCAGAACTTTATTGTCTTCCACAACTGAACCTATACCCATTAAGTAGTAACTCCCTTTTCCCCCTTCCCCAAGCCCCTGTTGACCAACATTTAGTTTTCTGTCTCTCTGAATTTGACTACTTCTTTTAGGTGAAATCCTATAGTACTTGTCCTTTTCTGACTTTTTTTTTTCCAGTTAATATGTGGTAGCATGTGATAGAATTTCCTTCCATTTTAAGGCCACGTAGCGTTCCATCATATATATGCACCACATCTTGTTTACCATTCATCCGTCAGTGGATGTTGTGCTGCTTCCTCCTCTCGGCTGTTGTGAATAGCACTGCTGTGGGTGTGCGCACACCTCTCGGAACCTGCTTTCACTTCTTCGGGATTCATACCTAGAAGTGCGACTGCTGACTCCTGTGTTCTATTTTTACTTTTTTGAAGTTCTGCCCATGCTGTTTTCGTGGCTGCAGCATATTACATTCCCACCAACAGCGCATGGGGGTTCACATCTCTACCAACACTTGTTATTTTCTGGGGTTTTTTGAACAGTAACCATCCTAATGGGTGAAGTGATCTCATTGCTTTGATTTGCATTTCTCTGCTGATTTCGATGTTGAGCATCTTTTCCTATGCCTGCTGGCACCTGAGGATGTTCTACAGTTTTGTAGGTCTCTCATGTCTGGCTTAGAAGATGGATGGAGTCTCCTATCTTGTTTTATATCTCCTTTGGAGAAATGGCTGTTCAAGTCCTTTGCTCATTTTTTAATTGAGTTATTGTTGAGTAATTTCATAAGTGTGGTCTCATACTGTTGAGGAATCAAAATCAATTTAAAAGTATTTTGCCTTTGGAAGTGCCTGGCTGGCTCAGTTGGTGGAACATGCAACTCTTGATCTTGGGGTTGTGAGTTGAGCCCCGGGTTGGGTACAGAGATCACTTAAAAAAAATAAAATCTTAAAAAAAATTTTAGCCTGTTAATCTAAAATATAATAAAATTGCCATGTAGTCCCCCAGTCAAGATTATTTCTGGGCTGTAGGATTGTTCTGGATGATCCAAATATTCGAATCCTTTTGGGAAAATCAAACTTAGATGACTGGCAAGGCACATTTTAAGGAAGCAGGTGTGTTCTTGAGGGAGGGCCTTACCTTAGTTTTACTTAGTGGGCTAAGCCTGTATATTTAGGCTTCACATCTGCAGCAGTCTGATAGAGCCACTTTTTGTCCAGGGCAGCCTCCCAGAGTCCTTGTCATCCTGTGGTATGATAGCAGGCACATGAGCTCTGGAGTCAGACTTATGACACCAGCTCTACCAGTTACTTTCTGCACCTCAGACAAAAGAGAATATTGGTTATTTCATTGGTAAAACTGGGAAAGTAATGTTTACTTGCTGCAATTGTTTTGAGAATTAAATACACGAAAATGCAGTGTATAGTACATACCTGTGGGCCATCCATGACCCTGTTCTTCCAGCCTCTACCTCCCAAAGTGCATGCTCAGTGTCCCTTATCTAGAGCACCTTTTTATCATACAAGGTATTTATGCTATGATGTCTTTATTTTCCTTGGCAGTCTCTTGTTACATTGTGAGCTCCTTGCTTTTGTTTTCATTTTTTGGTTATGTTTTTGTTTAAGTTAGGCTCTATGCCCACTGTGGGGCTTGAACTCACCACACTGAGATCCAGAGTTAGATGCTCTACTGACTGAGCCAGGCAGGCACCCCATGAGTTCCTTGCTTTTGAATCTCTAGCAATTTGTACAGGGCTTAGTTCAGATTAGACACTAATTAAAGTGTTAGTGAACAGAAAGAATGAATGCATGCTTTGCTATTTTATTTCTCCGCGAAGGACTTTGAATGTTTTCAGAGGGATAATGGTATATTCCCTTATGTAGTTGACAGCACATATGAACTAGTCCAGGAGTTCTCAAACTTTCTGGTGTCTCAGGACCCTTTTATGCTTAAAAAGTATTGTGGGCCCTAAAGAGTGCTTATTTATGTAGATTAGTACTTACGGTCTTAGAAACAAAAAGAAAATTTTTAAATATTCACTTTAAAATATCAGTGATAAACCCATTGCACATTAATATAGACAACACGTTTTCGTGAAAAAATAACAATTTTTCAAAAAAAGTTAATGAGAAGAGTGTTTGACAGTTTCGTAGGTCTGTGTAAAAGGGCATAAAAGGTAGGTGGAGTCTTCTCTCTGCATCTGCTTTGCGTCTGTTGGGAGAAGTTCTGGTTGAAGTATAAGCAGAAAATCCCACTTCCCACAGATACGTGGCTGGAAAAGGAAGGACCTCCTGGACCCCTGCAAGGGTCTGTGGGACCTCCAGGGGCCCTTGGCAAGTACTGGACCAGCTACTCATCTGGCCTAAAAGGAGGGAAATGTAGTAGTGTTCAAGAAGTTAGAGAAAGGGTTATGGAAAAGTTCCACGTTTTTAGCCCTATGTATAATGGTTTACCTATTGTCATTTTGTTATTTGTAGGTTAAAAATATCCTTCATGAAGAAGAAAGATCTTAAGCAACATGGTGGATTCAGAAGCTCATGAAAAGAGGCCGCCCATCCTGCCATCTTCCAAACAAGACCTGTCACCTCACATTGCAAATGTGGGTGAAATGAAGCATTATCTGTGCGGCTGCTGTGCAGCTTTCAACAATGTAGCAATCACATTTCCCATTCAGAAGGTGCTCTTTCGGCAACAGCTGTACGGAATCAAAACCCGGGATGCAGTGCTTCAGCTGAGGAGGGATGGCTTTCGAAACTTGTACCGCGGCATCCTTCCCCCACTGATGCAGAAGACCACCACACTGGCGCTTATGTTCGGTCTGTATGAGGACTTATCCTGCCTTCTCCGGAAGCACGTCAGTCCCCCTGAGTTTGCAACTCGTAGCGTGGCAGCGGTACTTGCAGGGACAACAGAAGCAATTTTCACTCCATTGGAAAGAGTTCAGACATTGCTTCAAGACCACAGGCATCATGACAAATTTACAAACACTTACCAGGCTTTCAAGGCACTCAGATGCCATGGAATAAGAGAATATTATCGAGGCTTGGTACCTGTTCTTTTCCGTAATGGATTCAGCAATGTCCTTTTCTTTGGCCTTCGTGGCCCCATTAAGGAGCATCTGCCTACCGCAACCACCCACAGCGCTCATTTGGTCAATGATTTTATCTGCGGAGGTCTGTTGGGTGCCATGTTGGGAATCTTGTTTTTTCCAGTTAATGTTGTAAAAACTCGCATGCAGTCTCAGATTGGTGGGGAGTTTCAGTCTTCTCCCAAGGTGTTCCAAAAAATCTGGCTAGAACGGGACAGGAAGCTGACAAACCTTTTCAGAGGTGCTCACCTGAATTACCATCGGTCTCTCCTCTCTTGGGGTATAATCAATGCGACTTACGAGTTCTTGTTAAAGATTATATGAAAGAAACTGTCAGTTAAGTGCCATTTATTAACTGAATAGACCTAAGAAGAATGCAATTTGGCCTTGTTCCTAATTGGCCAAATACAGGTTGGTGTCACAAGTTCAGGGCGTGATGAATTATGGGCAGAGCTGTTCTCTTTCAGCAGCAACAAATTCAGAATAAAAGGTTCTAATAGGAAAATTTAAGGGTTTTTTTATTTTGTTTTGTAATCATTATCTAAGAACTTTAGGCTAGTTGCCTGGTTAATAGCCGTCTGTCTGATGGCTTTTGACAAGGAAAGCTAATAGCCAAGATAATGGTTCTTTTCCCCAAAAGTCTTTAAACCTTCTGTATTGAAACATCAGTGGCCATAACCAGCCAGAGAAAAGGCTCTTCTTAGAGCCCTGTGAATTCTCAGGCTTCCTTCTCTTACTCCATTTCTTGCTTCTCTGCTTTTAGGAGGAGCTGCAGAGGGTGGTCTTTGTTAAACATAAGCATAAACATGGTAGGACAGAGAGGAGCAAAACACCTTATGAGGTGTAGGCTTTTCATGATCCATGGCTTGTGTTAGTTTTGAAACTAAGTACCTGTTGGGATAGTCATCATCCAGACTGTTCAGGTGTGGTAGGGCAGACCCAAGTAGCTGGTGAAAGCTCCCATTTTGCTTTCTGAGTTGGAAAGTGTTATGTTCAGTTCTGAATGTGACCTTAAATCCTTTGAATGCCTTTATGTTAATTTCACTTACTTCATTGCCAAAAGATGGGGAGACTTACATTTCGTTACAGACGTTTCATCTTGTGAAGAAGTTTCACATTAATTGCATATGGATCAAACTCTGGCTAGTTCAGTTCTTTGATTAATTGTTGCCAACTTAGTGAAGAGCTTTGGGAGTTTGGAGAGTGTTTTCACTTTGAGTCCTAGTTTCACATATTGAAGTATCCTGTTCTCGAAACTGTCCTTTAAAAAAAAAAAAAAGATAAATACTTGCATAATACTGTATTTTTGAAGTCTGTTAATGGGATTCTGTAGACTTTTCCCTCCTGGTTTCTAAGTGTTAAAGAGAAAAAAAAAAAACCTCAGGATAGCTTTCACCCCACAGTGTTAGTTATCTTTTTTATTTAACTCTTGGAATGGAGACTTCTATTAGGATTTTTACATTTTGAGAACTCAGTTTTACATTTTATCATTAAAGCAGTTTGAGGTGATAAAATCTAAATCAAGATATTTAGAGGGTTAGTTTTAAATGCTAGAAGTTCGTAATAGCTGGATAGCATACTCCTCCCTTAAATAACAGAGAAAAACTTACTTGTCAAAGGAATCAGATTTTAAAATCTTTCGCCCTGATCAGTAAGGCAGAATGCCTCCTATTTACCAATTGAATAACTAATAAAACCTGAAACATCCTAGAAAAGTGGTTTATCAATCTTAAAAATTCCCGTCTGTAAATAATGTAGTTAAAATTGCTTGCCAACATCTGACACGGCAGAGTAGTTAGGTTTCTCATGACCAAGCTGTCCTCATTCTGGGTAACTGCATATGAATATGTGCATACACTGACTAAGACAAAATCTGCGTCTCCACTGGTAGTTTACTCAGTTTCCGGGCAGATAGTCCAAAAGAGATGTTTACCTCTCAATGCACTGTGGCTGGTCACATGAACATCTTCCACCCATAAAGGATTGGGAAGCATTATCAAGCATTTTCCAGGCAGTAATGAGGCCCAGTAGCTTTACAACAGCCCTGTTTGAAAATACTGTGTTGGAAATGGCAGTTTACTTTGAAAACCAAGATGCAGATGTGAGGATTTCAGAACACAAGGATTTGACATCGAATAAACGTGAGTAGCATCTTTGGCTTATTGAATAGAGTCTGGCTTTGAAGCGGGTTGAGTTTTGGGACATGAATGACAGGCACTGGTGCCTGAGCACCAACGGGTCTGTGTAGGTGCTCGGCATCCACCTACATGAGGCAGCTGGGGCCACGGCCTGGCAGCCGGCTTCCTGTTTGTACACTCCAGTCAGACCATAGATACCCACGTTCTGAAGCACTTTTGTGAAATACAAGTGAAGTGAGAATTTGAAAAGGGGATGCTTTGGTTTCTGCAGTCTCAAACTTGTGGCATTTAAAAACAATAAATATTTTTAATGATTTTAACTCATAGTACATTTGGATTTCTTTGTCACTTTTGAAGACCAAACTGCAAATACATTACCAGGGATGGTTTTGTGTTGTCCTGTAGACCTTTTAAATTTGACAAAGTTCAGCAGAACTTGCTTATGGTAGCCAACAGCTTTGAACCTTAAAAGAAGTCAAAGCGTGTTATTAATAAGAGATTCTAACTATTGTTTTTTTACCTTCAGTGTGAACTCATAGTAGTTTTGAAAAGGCAAACATGATTAAATAAGTTTATCCGAAGAGCTTTAAAAGTGGCCTTTTTGTTACATAGGTGGCACAGACGGCTTATGAGCACAGGGCCCTTCTGGTCCTGCCTCCCATACTTGAGCTCTGATGCCACCAGGAATATGTGATGGATTCTGTATTTAACATGCTTAGGAGCCCTCAGGACTGCATCACAGAGTAAACACAACCTTTCTATGGTGGCAGATTTGTGTGTCTTTGTTTCATTTGTGGTTGGAGACAGTTGATGTTTTTGTCTCAATAATCAATATTCTTACCTTATGGTTGGTTATGTAATCACCTGCTGTATATTGTAAACTGTGCAATAAAACAGAATTGTGTACATAGAATCATCTTTGGAGACCTGAGCTTTCCTATTTCCTAGCTCGATGACAGTGGTAATACTCCGCTCTAGTGCTGTGCAAACACATAAGGGAATCCTGGGTGGCAGACAGGATGTGTGCAATGGGTCACCTGATCACGCTGTGCTGGAAATGGCAGGTCAGTGCAGATAAAATTGTGTAGTGAGGAATATGCAGGCAAAATGAAGGCGAGACAGGCCATCACATGTGAAGAAAGGGTGAGCACTCAGATTTTATTTCCTTTAAGATACTGTTTTCTCATGTGCATATAAATACATATCAAAGACTTGAAAAGGCATTCTCTTTAAATTTGAGGACTTTTCATTTTTAATACTCTTTTTTGCTTAATAGTAAGTAATTGCTTGCCTGAGTGACTCCCAAATTGTGGGGGAGTCTCCACAGGCCTCTTAAAGTTTCATTATTAAAAGCGGTTAAGCACACAAAGCTGTTTTTGTTTGATATTTTGAGTTTTGTGACAGTTTAAATGAAATCTGTTAAATGTGTCAAAGTTAACATTCTTCTTTTGGTAATTCTGTTTGGAATAAAGTTGTTTGTTTTTTTTAAGTCCATTCAATTTGGTCTTCTGTTGTGGTTGGGTTAGGGTTACTGGCACAACTTTTTTGTGGTTCAGGCTTGTCTCTGTTGCTAACCATTTAGCGTACTGCTTTGACTAGCACCTTTACCTGTTAACTTTGTAGGTAGAACAGTCCTTCATTTATCCGTCTTTGGTCAAGAAGAGTTCCAGATAACTTAGTTTTCCAGATAACTTAATTGCAAAGCATTTTTTAAAATGGTTTTTCTCAAATAAACATTTCCCTACTGAGTATAAACTTAGTAAGTTCAGCGTATCAGTGATTTCTATGGTATAGCGTGCCTTCATGTCACACCTACCCCCATGCTAAGCAGTCTGGACCTTTGTACTGAGTTTTTTATATCTACTTTTGACTTCACAGCTACGCATTTCTGTTAGGAGATTGTGAAATTATTTTAGGTGCATTGTTTTTTTTTTTTTTTTTTTTTTTAAATTTTTTTTTTTAAATGTTTTATTTATTTCTAGGAGAGAGAGAGAGAGACAGTGTGAGCAGGGCAGGGTCAGAGAGAGAGGGAGTCACAGACTGAAACAGGCTCCAGGCTCTGAGCTGGCAGTCAGCACAGAGCCCGACGCGGGGCTCGAACCCACGAACCGCGAGATCATGACCCAAGCGAAAGTCGGACGCTTAACCGACTAAGCCACCCAGGCGCCCCTTAGGTGCATTGTTTACATGTTAAATTTTAAGGTCCCCTCCCCCCTGTCTCTGGGGACAGTTGAAACTGCCTGGCGAGGACCCCAAGGTAAGGGAGCAACTGCCATAATGCTTCTAAAACTCCAGTATAGGGTTGGAATTCATTATAAACGTGGATATTCTGAACTTGCGAACTGATAAAAGGGGAGTTGTGCCTGGCATCTGATGCGATGTTGTTTTAGCCTGGCCGCCAAGGCACTGTTGTAGACCACAGAGCAAGTTTCTCAGGGTGTGGTCGGGCGCGAGCAGGGCACTTTGGATCCCTAAGAGGTGGCTGCCCAACTTTGTTTAGCATCTGAAACTTCCAGTGGGGACCTTTTTTCTAGTGAGCATATCTGATTTTGAAGTAGAAAGTTTTTTGGGTGTATTTAATCCATTTACATTTATTTTTTTATTTTGTTTTATTTTTTTAAAATAGTTTATTGTCAAGTTGGTTTCCACATAACACCCAGTGCTCATCCCCACAAGTGCCCTCCTCCATACCCATCACTCCCCTTCCCTTCCCCGCCCCCCATCAGCCCTCAGTTTGTTCTTGGCGTTCAAGAGTCTATCATGGTTTGCCTCCCTCCCTCTCGCCCAGTATTTTCCCCCTTCTTCTCCCCCATGGTCTTCCGTTAAGTTTCTCCTAATCTTCCTATACATGCAAACATATGGTGTCTGTCCTTCTCTGCCTGACTTATTTCTCTCAGCATAACACCCTCAAGTTCCATCCACGTTGCTACACATGGCCAGATTTCATTCATTCTCATTGCCATGTAGTATTCCATTGTATAGATGAACCACATCTTCTTGATCCATTCGTCAGTTGATGGACACTTAGGCTCTTTCCATGATTTGGCTATTGTTGAGAGTGCTGCTGTGAACATTGGGGTGCATGTGCCCCTATCCATCAGCACTCCTGTATCCCTTGGGCAAATTCCTAGTAGTGCTATTGCTGGGTTATAGGGGAGTTCTATTGTTAATTTTTTGAGGAATTACCACACTATTTTCCAGAGGGGCTGCACCTGTTTACATTCCCACCAACAGTGTAGGAGGGTGCCCGTTTCTCCACATCCTCGCCAGCATCTAGAGCCCTTTTATTTGCTCATTTTAGCCACTCTGACCGACGTGAGGTGGTATCTCAGTGTGGTATTGATTTGTATTTCCCTGATGAGGAGGGATGCTGAGCATTGTTTCATGTGTCTGTTGGCCATCTGGATGTCCTCTTTGGAGAAGTGCCATGTCTTCTGCCCATTTCTTCACTGACGTAGAAACTGAGGATAAAATGGGATTTATCTAAATTATCTCCCTTCAATCCATTCTGCTTATTTCTTTAAGAGTAATTCTTTAGATGAATGGATCCAGGCCCCCCTTGCCTGCCTCCCTGTCTTCGCCAGCTAAAATGGTCCTACTCAGGGGTGCCTGGCTGGCTCAGTCGGTTAAGCGGCCAACTTCAGCTCAGGTCATGATCTCATGGTTCGTGGGTTCGAGCCCCGTGTCGAATTGGAGCCCTGTGTCAAATTGGAGCCTGCTTCGGATTCTGTGTCTCCCTCTCTCTCTGCCCCTCTGCCACTCATGCTCTGTTTCTCTCTGTCTCCAAAATAAACAAAAAATAAAATAAAATGGTCCTACCTAGTCCCCACCTTCTTCCACAGGAACTTTGCCCGGGCCATGTCCCCCTGCCCTGAGCACAGCACTCTTCCCTGATCGCTCAGTAACTCCTGCCGAGGACTTCAGATCTCCACTTGAGCGTCACTTCCTGAAAGAAGCTGGCTCCCACTTTCAGGACTAAGGTTCCCCTCCTCTATGTTCTTGTGCCACCACGCTCCTGTTTTTCATAGCACTTCCTTGTTTTAATTGGACTGTGATGATTGGATGTTTCCTGCCCCTTTTGCATGGCAGCTGCATGAGGCGGGGGCTCTGCTGTAGCTTCCCGTTTCAAGTGCCCAGCCCAGCGCCTGGCACCTGGTGGAGGTCTGATGAACATTAAAGAATCAGCCAAGAGAGTGAAAGGACATGTGGATATCCAGAATCATTGCATTCTGGAATATCCCGTCTGACCTTCCTTCCTTGATGGGTCATGGAGGTTGTATAAGTACAAACCTTTACACTGCTTGAGCTGCCACAGTGAAATACCACAGACGAAGTGGCTTAAACAAACATTTATTTCTCACAGTTCTGGAAGCTAGGAAGTCCAAAATCAAGGTACCAGCAGATTTGGTTCCTGGTGAGAAGCCTCTCCCTGGGGTGCAGACTTCTCACTGTGTCCTCACATGGCGGAAGGAACTTCAATGAGCTCATCTAAACCTAATCACCTCCTGAAAGCCCCACCTCCAGGTACTGTCACATTGGGGGGTTAGGCCTTTAACATACAATTTTGGGAGTGGGGTGACCCACAGACATTCAGTCCATAGCATGTATAAGCCTAAATGATGAGCCTAATGATTATTTCCTTAAAGTAATTAGTGTTGCTGACTGCTGCTTTGTTGCTCTCGAAGTGCCATGAAGGCAGTGACTTGTTTTAATTGAGAGCAGATCGCAAACCACTTCTATAGTTTCATCGCCAACAGAAATAAAAGTTTTGGGGCACCTGGGTGGCTCAGTTGGTTAAGCATCCGACTTCAGCTCAGGTCATGATCTCAGGTCCGTGGGCTTGAGCTCCACATCGGGCTCTGTGCTGACAGCTCGGATTCTGGAGCCTGCTTTGGATTCTGTGTGTCCCTCTCTGCCCCTCCCCCACTCACACTCTGTCTCTCAAAAATAAAAAAAAAGGAAGTTTCAGTTCAGGCCCTCTTTGGGGGCACCAGTCATTATTAGTTAGCAGTTGCTTGTGGGTAAGGCGATGACTTGCTCCTAATCTGAAGCACACCAAAAACTGGCGACCACATTTAGATACATGGAGATGCTACCTTTTTGTTTCATACGACACTAGGGGAGAACTTTGTCTTTCAAGGGTCATGATAGCTACAGTAGATAGGTGGCTCCTGGTATGTAGCTTCCTCCTTTCCCTTGGGCTAAAAGCAGCTTTGGAACTTTTACTCTTCTACAATAATTGAACAAGAAATTTCCAGGTTTTGGGCTCCTCACTCCCCACTAAAAAATAGCCATAGAATTTTGAGGACAGATGGTAGGGAAAAGTGTGTATGTATGGGAACCAAGTACTTTTCATTTGTAATGTTGTGCATAAACTATGAAGGTAAAGGGTAAAAAGGAGGCGAGGGCCTGAGTTTCGAGGTGTCCTAGGTTTCTTGGGCCTTGAGAAAGCGGAGGTGAAGTCCAAAACCAGAGGTTTGCTGGTTGTTTTGAGCTCTTCAAAGTTTCTGCTCCCTGTGGTCCGGGAACAGAAAAGCATGTTGTTTTTGTGGTTGAGGGCAGTACTACATGTATTTGATTTTGTGTCAACTCAAGCTAGAGAAGAACAGAAGTCCTAATAATTACAGTTTGTCTATTATAATTTTTCCCTTGTTTATTTTGTGGAGTAAATTTGCCATGCACCCATCTGCTCAGTACTGGAAAGCTACCCTTTTAAGGACAATCCTTTTGAGTTAGAAGATTCTAGACTTGTGGAAAATACAGAGCATTTTGGCTGCCTGAAACCAATTCCAAAGTAAAAATGTAAAGCCCCGTTGATTCCCTGCTGGCTCCCAAGCTGGATTAGGTCTCCTTCTGTGACCTGTGATGACTCTTTCACCCTGGTGCGCTCTCCATGGTGTGTGTGCTGTATCCTTCAACACAGCGTGAAGACTCACTGAGGGCAGGGACTCTGATCTTTGTATCCGTCCGTGGACTAGAGGTTCTCGTAATAAATACCTATTCAGTGAATGAATCCTCTGATCCCAGATATTGTCTTTATCACTATTGTTCTCCCTGTTTCAGAGACACTTTGAATTTCTTAGGAATATCTTTTAAAATCATCAAGGAAGAATGCATATTGTATGATTCCATTTATGTGAATTTCTAGAAGAGGCAAATCTGTGCTGGAAGAAAGAAAATAGTGGTTGCCTCTGGGAGGGAGGGAGGGGAAGTAGACTGGAAGGGATGATGGTAGTAACCTATATCGTGATAGGGGTTTGGGGTACACAGGTGTGTACATTTGCCTAAACTTCGTGAATGTACCATTATTGTGCACTTCGTCATGTGGAAGATTTAAGAACAAAAGAAAAAGATGCTAAATGTTAATGATAGGTATTGCTGAGGATTTTAGGAGGACGGGTACAGAGAGCTGCAATTTATTCAAAATACCTAAAAAATTAAGATGGATTGATAGAGTATTAGACAAAGCAATAAAACAGGAAAAGATTAATG